TTTCTTTACATTCCATTATTTGTATCATGTCATATAATTTACTTTAAAAAATAAAATAAAATATGGTGAAAAATAAAAAATCTTTTACTTCTCTACAAAAGCGAATAAAACTGCTGAATAGATTCAACATGTTGTCCTGAGTTTAAAAATACCCAGTGTTTACTCGCTTTTTTTTGCAAATTATAGGGCTATAAATACAAGTAGGAAATTGCGGTTTCAAAATATATATTTTTTAAATTTATCAATAGTGACATTGTAACACTGTTATCTGTCATAAATCTATGAATCACACCCCACATGTACATATTTTTTTTTAAGTAGACAACCCAGGGAATTCAATATTGCGTATGTCCAGTCTTTTTAGTAGCCACTTAGTCACAAACACTGGCCAAAGTTAGCATTTATATTTGTTTGTGTGTTAAAAATGCAAAACACAATTATGAACGCAAACTTTGGCCAGTGTTTGTGACTAAGTGGCTACTAAAAAGACTGGATATACCCCATTGCAATACCTTGGGTTGTCTTCTTTTGCAAATGGTATGCCATCATGGGGGTAATTCTCATTTCTGGGCTACTATACGCTCTCACAGGCAACATAACCAACCAGGCAAATTTCAATGTAAAAAAAGGGAAAATCAAGCATTATATTTGACCCAGTAACTTTCAAAAACACTATAAAACCTGTACATGGGGGGTACTGTTATACTCGGGAGACTTCGCTGAACACAATTATTAGTTTTTCAAAACAGTAAAACGTATCACAACAATAATATCATCAGTGAAAGTGCCGTTTGTGTGTGAAAAATGCAAAAAAACTTCACTTTCACTGACAATGTCATCGCTGTGATATGTTTTACTGTTTTGAAACACTAATATTTGTGTTCAGTGAAGTCTCCCCAGTAAAACAGTATGCCCCCCATGTACAGGTTTTAGGGTGTCATAGAAAGTTACAGGGCTAAATACAGTGCTAACAAATTAAATTCTCTGGACTTTCAGCCTGGGTTGTCAGGCAGGTTCCTCAAATTGCAAACAATAAAATTACTTAACCCCTTAAGACCGCAGGGCGTTCTATGCCGTCCTTATTTAAATGGCTCTAAAGGCCACAGGGCGGCATAGAATGCCCTGCGATCTTTTGTACTTACCCGGCCATCCCATGGGGGTGATCGCGGTATGGGGACTTACCTGGGAGCTCAGGGAGTCCCCCTCCGTCCTCTTCGTCCCCCCTGGGCCATGTGATCATGAGGTCCTTGAGAGGACCCCGCGATCACATGGACGGCATAGCCGTCCAAGGCATTGCCAGCAGGGGGAGTGCCTGTAATGACAGGTACTTCCCCTGCTGCCTGGAAATAAAATTAAAAGATGTTCAAACAGTGTAAAATTAAATAATATATACTTAGATTATATGTATTCATTATGTATATGCTCTAAGTATATATATATATATATATATATATATACACATATATAGTCTAAGTGTATTTTAATACTAATATATATATATATATATACATATATATTAATATCAAAGTACACGTAGAATGATATTGATTAAATATATATAATTATATATATATATATTTATATATATAATATAAAATAAATATATATGTAAATACGTTAAAGAATAAAAATTTTAAATAATAAAAAATAAATACAAATGTATATATGTGTAATTTCGTTCTAACTGTATTTTAAAATGTATATACAGTCACAAACACTGACCAAAATTGGCATTCGAATGAGTTTTTTGCATTTTTCACACACAAACAAATATTAACACTAACTTTGGCCAGTGTTTGTGACCAAGTGGCTACTAAGACTTGACATACCCCATTTGCAATACCTTGGGCTGTCTACTTTTGCAAATGGTATACCATCATGGGATTCTCATTCCTGGGCTACCATACGGTCTCAAAGGCAACATAACCAATCTGACGAATTTCAATGTGAAAAAACTGAAAAATTTAACATGCTAGCTGTGACCCTGTAACTTCCCAAAACACCATAAAACCTGTACATAGGGGGTACTGTTCTTCACATGGGACATCGCTGAATACAAATATGTGTATTTTATTGCAGTAAACGCAAACAGTATTATGGCATTCACAGTTAGAATGTCACGTAGAACTAAAAAAAGTTTAAAAAATTCTTATTTTCTCCCATTTTTTTATATTTTATTCATATTAAATTATGTTTCATACCTAAATATTTGATGTGACAAGAAAGCCCTGTTTTTCCTGAACAAAATTATATATGATAAGTGTGGGTGCACATAATATGAAAGAGGCGAATTACGCCTGAACAGGCATATAGCACAAATTCAAGTTTTTGTTTAAGTTTTGTTTTGATCACAACGTGTACATTTGGTTCAGTCGTTAAGGGGTTAAAGATTAAAAACACATAGTTTAAAAACAAATATTTAGCTTCATCCCCCTCTCAGAAAATCAGCCTAGAACTGCTGTATTTTACATCTCAATTTCACACCATGAGCAGTCATTGGACTTCACTTTTTACTTGTTGAGATGACACCAGAGTAATCTCAAAGAAAATATGACCCCTTGGAAGTTGGAACAAAGACAGAAACACTGAGTATATTTTAGTGCCTGTAGCATTCAGATGTGTAATTCACTGCTGAGATAAGTAGCTTTTTTAACACTTTAAAATGAGTATTTGCTATTTTTTTATATACACTGGTCACTTTTGTAACCCACTGCAAGACTAGATCATATTTGTACAAATAGTTATCCTCAATAATTTACTATGTCCCTCGTTATGGACACACACATTTTGAAAGTTTCAGCTGGAAGACCAAGAAGAAGGAAGGTGAGCTTAAAACTAATGAATAAATATATACAATTTTCCACACGAGGAATGTTTTTGCCGAGGTGGAACATTCCCTAAATAACTTGTATATCTCTAATCCTACTATAATACGATAATAGCCAGATTGTTTAATGTGAAATTTAACACGGTAACATATCTCAAAAGTGATTGATGAAGTTAAGAGTCAGTTTAGTATGGCATTCGTACATTGTGCATTCTCTAATATTTGAGTATGTTCTGGGATGCTGAAAATAATACAGACTTGTTACAAGGTCACACAATTAACATACACTGAACATTGATAACAATTTGCAGTTAATATAACTTAATACACAGTTCTATTCAGTCATTGCAGGCTTGTGATAATTTCGATGATTTGTGGTTGAATATTCCAATCCACACCACTCTGCTATGTATCTGAAGGCTGCATGACCCACTTCATTAAAGTCACATATAGTCAGCAAAACAACTTTAGCTTAATGGAGCAGTTTTGGTGTATAGGTCATTTAATGAAATTGCATCCTTGCCATTTAGCAGTTAAATCACTTTGTTTATACCTTGTCACACCTCCCTGGCATGTGACCTACACAGTCTCCCTACACATTCACAGTAAAGCAAGATCTAATGTTTATACTTCTACAGTCTGTTTAATTGAGAGTTTCTTAGCACTTCTCTGATAGATCTACAGGAGGCTTATGTGTGTGTATGATTAAAGTTCAATTAACAGAGCAGGAGATAAAAACTTCTAAAGTAAGTAAGCAAGCGCTGAAACCATTTTTTTCCATGCTGGCTGTGTCAGCCAGAGCCAGGGGAGGTGTAGCTGGGGCTGCATAAACAAAAACAAAAGTGATTTTTTTATCTCATAAATGGCATTGAATTGAACAGTGAGACTGTAATCAATTGTTTCAATAAGCTAATTGTTTTCATGTCTATAGTATACCTTGAAGTAGACATTTTAGTATTTGTATTTTGAGAAGCACCACTGATACTTTGAAAAACTTTTGGAATAGTCAGTCTTTAGGTTACAGTAGCTTTCAAATTAAACTTACTAGAACTTTATGTGATTAACAATATATTAATTAGATTTTTATGTTGACATTTTTCAAAATAGTTGCTGTGAATAATTATATTGTTTAAGGGATAATAATTTAATAAATATATTGATTTATGTCATTAGTGGGGATTTTTTTGTGGTCAACTAAAATATTTATTGTTATTTTATATTTTGCCTTCTTAATTTTTTTTATATGTATTCGTTGTAACCTGAAAGTGACAGCCCAAAATCCTTAAAACGAAGGAACATCACTGAAGAAACAGCCCTCTGCATATCATTCTTTATTCTGATATGTCCTCATTAAAGGGACACTCCAGGCACCCAGACCACTTCTGCCCATTGGAATGGTCTGGGTGCCAACTCCCACTACCCTTAACCCTGCAAGTGTACTTATTGCAGTTTTTTATAAACTGCAATAATTACCTTGCAGGGTTAACTCCACCTCTAGTAGCTGTCTACTAGACAGCCACTAGAGGGCACTTCCGTGTCCATAGCACAGGAAACCTGTGCTAGAGCATTACTGGATGTCCTCACGCTGTGTGAGGACCTCCAGCGTCGCTCAATTCCCCATAGGAAAGCATTGAAAAGCATTTTTAATGCTTTCCTATGGAGAGCTCTAATGCGCATGCGCGGGTTTCCTCAGCCGGCTGGCGGGATCAGTCTCGCCCACCGGCTGACGTAATCACTGGGAGGAGCGGCGGCAAGCAGAAACCCCCACATCGACGGGTCTCAGGTAAGTGACTGAAGGGGTTTTCACGGATTGTTTTCCTGGCACTGGATAGGCCCTTTAAGTGTAGAAATATTTAAAACTATGTAGATTCATGCAAGTGGATGTATACTGTAAGAATAGTTAGTATTTTCTCACCATTGTTTATGGATTTAAACAAGTATGGGGCTCATAGGGCTTCAAACATGTATATGTGTTGTTTATTTAAATCATTCTATAATCATTTAATGATAACTTTTACTGGAGATAACAGGTGCTGTTAAAGCTGTTTAACATTTACTTTTCACGTGGTTTTTTAGCCACCTGTTTATAAGTCTAACAAGGTTATAAGTGTAACCATAATAATTTACACACATATATATAGGTGATCTTTCCAATGTTCTTTAGGACATACTCCTCATAGCACGGAACATCTGTGAAGAATGAAAGGCTATCTTCTTCTCCTTGTCCTTTTCGGCATCTGCAATGCGCAGTCCCGACTAGGTAAGAGAATAAATGTTACAGAGTATTTCTACCATCTCAAAAGGAAAAAAAATTACTTTTCCTGTTTAACTCAAGTCTTTAGAAGTAGGCAGTTCATGCATGCTTGGACAAAATACTTTTGTCAATGTTGTTGGGCTCTACGCACTTGTTGGGCTCTATACACTTTACCCCTTGATATGACATGCACTGTTCAAAACCAGCTGCATATTCAGTAATCAATAAAGGGAAGAATGGAAATTGCAGATATAATCACGACATACACATGCTTTTTTTTATAACACACTTATCAAGAGTTGTTACAAAGCCAATAAACATTTTATTTATGTTCCTTTTTTTAAAACAAAAACTGTGAGGGTAGGGAGCACCAACCCCTATGGACCAGCCTCCAGTGATCCAATCTATATATATTGCTGGCAAGATTCCTAGAATATGTTGAGAAATGTACTTACTGTAAATCACTTCTCCCTCACCTAACATAATGTCCAGAAATGGAAATGATGGATGCAGCAGTCTGGCAGCATGCAACATGTTCCCCATCTCACAATTCCTAGAATATCTGTGCATCACTTGGGTCAGCACACCCACTCCAGACCTCCACATTTGTTGTCATTATGATTATGACCACTGATTAGCACTAAAGGGACACTAGAGTCACCAGATCCCTGAACAAACCACATAGGACACACAGTTCCAAATGGTACTGACTCTGTGGGGTGTGAGGATAAGTACCCTGCCTCCCTGGTACTCGAGCCGCTCGGTAGGGAGGCCGACAAACTCTGCTCCCTGTAGACCAATTTGCCGCTAGGGAGGTAGGCCGGCTACTTCTTCTCCAGGGAGCTCAATCTACTGTTGGGAGATAGGCTGGCTAAATCTATTTCTTCTCACTAAGTTGCAATCAGCCACTGAGGGGGGAGGCCGACTACCTCCACTCCCTGTAGCCCAATTTGCTGCTGGTTAAATAGGCCAAATAAGCTAAACCTTCCAGATGCTAAACTTGCCGCTGTCTACCATCTCTCACTAGGTAACAATCTACCAGTGGGCTGAATATCTCCTCTCTCAGAATCTCAAACTGCCGCTGAAGGGGGGGCTGTTTAAATCTTCTCCCTGTACTCTGCAGTTGGGGAGGGTGGCTTGCTACCTCTATATCTTTTTGCTGGGTTGAAATCGGCCACTGGGGAGAATGACTACATCCTCTCCCAGAAGCTGCTGGGACGCAGGGAGGGTGGGGTGACAATGGTCCACATGCCAGGGGGTTGGGGATCTGAGCCTGCTGACTAGCATACCTGTGATTCAGGAAAGGAGAATTTGGTGCCCTCCACATGTACCTGGCCATCATCCTTGGGTGTAAAATCTATTAAATCCCCAGTCTCTAGGACCCGCTGCTGTACAGAGTCTAACAGTCTCCTGTAATCCTGTTTAATCTCCCACTCCAGGGTGGCAATGTAGGTCTGATCAGATTCCAGGTCTGTTGCTTCAGCAAGATCTAGGAGGTCTCTCATAAGTTCCTGGTTGTCCCAGAGTTGGAATACCACAGGGCTCCCAACCTCAGTCCCCTTCTCAAAGGCCTCCCACAATAGCCCGGGGTCAACATAGTGCTCACCCTCATCATCAGCTAGCCGTGGATACTGCTGGACCGCATACCACCGTAAGGCCCAGAAAGCATTGTCGATCCACAATTCTGTTTCAACCACTCATTCCTCCAAGGGCTGCTCTCCCAGGAAAGGTATTCGCAGATGTAGTTGATCCTGAAATCACTGTTCTGGGGTTGGGAGGAATTTTCTCCAGAATACCTGTACCTCCTTGAGCACCTCATTACAGAGTAGCTTTTGGATCCGGTCCCTCCAAGTCAGCTAACTCTCTCCCAAGACAGTGGCATCATACTGGGATAGTCGCCACTGAAACTTACAGGTCTGGCACTTAGATTTCTGCACTCCTCCATCTGCCACTTCTCGGGCCTGGTTGGAACGGCAGATCTGCCTCTCTTGGTCCTTATCTATGGTCACATTCTCCGAGATTAGATGCACTGCCTCTAATGATGGATTGTCGCTGAAGAAAGCCAATCTCTCTGACACTATCATTTGGAACTCCTACTTGGACTAGGATGCTGTATGGGTGCTAGCTCTATCCATGCCCACAAGGCCTGAAATATGTGTAGGGGTCCCGGTGGTGGAAGCCATCCCACCACGGCCACCAAATGAGACAGAGCTCCTGTACTCTGACGTAGCACCTCTGCCAGGTCTGCTATCAGGGATCCTGGACTTCTTCCATCCTGGACCAGGCTACAGCTGTATCCTTCCAGGAAGGTATTGTCCCCTCTACCTTTACCTCTTTAGCTACTGCCTTTACAAATAGCCTTTCCCCACACATTAAACGAGTCTGAATGTAGGGGTAGAATTAATCTTTAGAGTATGCAACACAGCTATTTATATGGTACAATGTTAACTGTCACTGAAGGGGGTCTTTAATACAATACGATGTACTGCACAATTGTCACTCCCCAGCACCACTCTGTCTGGTGACCTAATCACATTATCCCCAACTACGTCAATTGGCTCCTTGCTGTGCCCTCACAGTCCTAACGGTACAGCATACAAGATACCTGCCAAAAAAAACTTTCCCTAAACCATACTGATCAAATAATTTATGCCTGAGATACAGTGTGTTACAGTTTACTGGATTGCGGCTTTTCTTCAATCCAGTGATATATGCCAGATGTGGGATGGCTTAGTCCCAGTCTTCAAAAAGAGGTTACCAGATCTCTGGGGAGAGTAGCACTCTTAAGCCCCAGGTATCCTTTGATGTCTCTTTGTCTCACGAACCTCCCCTCCGAATAAGCCTGTATTTGGAGGTCAGAGGACTGAGCAATAGCCGCTCAAAGTTTAAATTTACCTCAGCACAGTCTTGATCCAAAAAACAGTTTCATGGTGGTTCAAGGTATCTCCTGGTCAGACACTCGAAGTGTGAAATTAGTCCAAGCCAACCCCAGAGGTCTGAAACCATGACTGGGAAGCACAATAAGCATCCATTGTCCCCCCCAAAGTGGCACTAGCCCCCTTTTGGTGGCTCTTGGGACTAGGCCCATAGTCTTTGGGCAGGAGACTAGCCTTTATGTCTCTGTAAGAGGCTGTGGCATCTGAGCTTCCATTACCTTACTCATATCTGGTGGTCTTAAACATGTGCAAGAAGCAACAACGTAATTATGTTTAGAATGTTTCTTTAATCCATTCCCATTATTACTTTTGTAGCTCATCTCTGCACTTTTCTCGTCCTGTTATAACAACTTGCTATTCCTCTTTTTCTAATAAAAGAACGCACAGCAAATTTTGTATTCTGAACCCATTACTGATGCACTATAGAATACAATACAATAACACAATAATCACAACTTCAGTCATCTAATTTTAGAATAAAGTGATTGTACCCTATAATAATAATAATAATAATAATAATAATAATATAAGCAAGACATGAACCTAGGCATTTGATGTATGTCTTGATGTATTTCAAGAAAAAATTAAAAACATGTTAATAATGTCTTCCGTACAGGCTCATACAATATTGACAGCACCATATCAGTGTCTGGTATTTCCTCCGGAGCATACATGGCAAACCAATTCCATGTTGCACAATCCAAGAAAGTTATTGGAGCCGCCTTGTTTGCTGGAGGTATTAATAATTAAATGCACATGTAACTGTTATATATTTTTTTTTTACATTGTAAATACTTCTTAGAATATTATGTATTTGGACTGGGTTTTGTTCTTTTTGTAAAGTGCAGCTTTGCGAAGTTATTATAGAGCATATGAAAATACTTTTGACTTTACTGATGCATATCTAAGTGGAAATATCAGAATATTAAATATATTACCGTGACACCTTTTTTTGTATACCTTCACCATATGTAATTTGTTTGATGGAGTTTTGTCTGAATTCAGGCAACACTTAAGTTTCATATAGTTATTTCTGAGAAAAAGTATGAGACTTAAAGGAACATTACGGGCACCATAACAACTTCATCTGGTACCACTTCCAAGAGGTCTTGAGGCATCTTACCTCAACAACTCAAACCATTTATGAACAGTTTGCAAAGACAGTTCCAGTTTGTGTGTCCTCCTGGCTTACTCATTGAAGCCCCAAAACAACATGGAAAGCGCAACTTTAAATGTTAAGATGAGTTTGGCGCCGGACGAGAATGGCCGCCTAATCTCCTCGCTCCGCTCCCGACCGCCCCATAAGCACATCTAAACAGCGCAATCTGGCACCCATGGGACGCACCAAGCGAGCCCAAATGACCCCCTCCACGCCAAGAACTCAGGGGAACAACCCGCACCCCTCGATCAGAAGCTACCTGCACACCCCAGGCGATCTTCTCACACAGGAGGAACTATCCAATATGGCGCCCTCCTCACCGAGCTCCACACTATCGGAAGAAGTCCCCAACACTGGAACGAACGGAACTGCCGCGCCAGCACCAGACTGGTATGCCCTTTATGCATCCCTACCTAAGAAGGAGGACTTCCACTCCCTCCTGGAAGAGGTTAAAACCACGCTGCACACAGAAATATCAGCTCTGGGCTCCTCCATTACAGCACTAGAGACCAGAGTGCAGGCCCTGGAATCCCGACGCCCCGACCTGCCCTGCCCGGCGCTCGCAGCCACGACAGCACAGGCTAAACAGATCCAGGACCTACGCTTACACATTGAAGACCTGGATAATCGCAGCCGCAGACACAATATACGGGTAAGAGGATGCAGGGAAACAGACCCCCCAGAAGACACGAGGGCCATTTTGACACCACTCTTTAACCGTATCCTGAACCGGCCAAGAGACGCCCGCATCCCCATAGACAGAGCACACAGGGCCCTGAGGCCTAAGCCCCCGCCAGGTGCCCCTCCTAGAGACATAATTTGCCACATCCCAGACTTCCAACTTAAGGAAGAAATTATGAGGAAAGCCCGGACGGAGAGGTCCTGGAGGCATGAGGGGCAGACGGTCGAACTATATAACGACCTCTCCCACCTCACCCTACAGGCCCGAAGAGCGCTGCGGCCCCTTACCACCGCCATGCAGGAGGCCCAAATACGCTACCGCTGGCAATTCCCATTTGCCCTAACAGCTCGGCGAGATGACACCGAAGCCACGATAAGATCACCACAAGACGTACAAGCCTTCCAAGAAGCCCTTGGCCTCCCACAAATGCCCATCGCAGACTGGACAAATTGCCCGATGAATGAGCGCTTCACAGGGCGACCAACCCGCCGCCACATCCAGCAGGGACCAAACGCTGAATTTATCTCTCTACAGCAAGCGAGCCCAGAGGAATAAACCTACCCCGTTTGCCTGAGAAATCGCTGAAGACTCTACGCTGACATTTTTTCTGGGATCACAGGGCACCCCCCCTCTTTTTTTTTTCCTCTCTTCTTCCCCTCCTCTCTCCTCACTCCATCAAGGAACGACGAAACATGACCGGAAGAAACAAAGCTATGGACAACTACACCAGCCGTCCAACAGGCCCAGGACACTCGTACAAAATAAATGTGGCCACCAGCAAACATCTACACCACACTCGCCACTCCTCGCACAAGGAACCTGTCAGCGGACTAAGCTCACCCCTACACGACCAGAGAACATGAGCCCCCGTCAAGAAGGACCCAACACTGCACAAGTACCCCCACGGGCAACTGATAAGTGGCCTAACACTGCCACACAATGGACTCCCTCCAGAAGAAGAGAGAACTCAAAAGCGCAAGTACTATGCCAGGGGTCACAACGCCCCAAGACTATACACCAACCACACGCTTTACATAAAATACTACTAACTGTGACGCAAAAACAACCCCACCACATGGGGCACTCTCCCACGTACATTAGCACGCCACACAGCCACACACCATACAAAGGCAACATACTGAAGCAGGGACACTCGTGATATGCTGAAGTGTGATATGCTAATGTTCCTGCTCTGCTGTTCCCACACCACAGATAGACAGCATACACGGCATACAGGCATTTCCACTCATGAGTACAACCACCACGACACAGACACTAATACACAGGCACTGGAGGCGGCAGAGCCCGCAATGCTAAATACAGACTATTCCAAGTCAAAGCTACTCGAAGTCAAAGCTACTCATCTGTGTTCCTCTATGTAATCTGTGGGTATTGAAATGTAAACACAAACGCGACGGACAGACACCACGTCACGTACCTGCACATCACATGCAGGAGACAAGACAGCGACACGGACGATAGGGACACTTGTATTGCACTGACCGATGACTGCAAGGCTAACTCAGGACTAGGCCTATAACAGTTAGGTGCCCTCCCAACTACCGGAACACAAAACGTACCTATCACATAACACATGGAATATCAGCTATCAGAGAAGACTGACCACGATTTGGGGAATCACTTAGCAAACGGTAACATCTCTAGCTCCTGACATACGACAGCCGACTGCTCACACGAAAGACAGATAAGCAATCCCGAACTGATTATCCATGATGATCCCTACCGATTAAGTCTTACTGAACGACCACACCAGCTACCACCTTATGGTGACAATAGACGAGGCCTGACACACAATGACTCTCACATGACTATACGGAAAGCCGAATCTCCCCTTGGAAGAGACAGCTAGAATACGAACTAAGACGAGTCTGAGCTGACATACGGGCCCTCCCCGCCCCACCCTCCTCCCCCTGACTTGACCGAATACCGTAAGACCCCGAGTGACCCACAGAACGCAATCTCAGGACGACTAACACGGGATGACCCCCACCTCATCAGGGCATACTCAAACTGTACGAATTAGTTGAATTGAATTGAATTGCATTGAATTGTTTTTGAATGTTACAAATGTTCTCTTATACAATGTTGATCACTGCGTGTTCATAACCTGCAAGTTGCTCTCCCATAGGCCTTAACTCACCCTCATCACCCGTATCACACGGTAAGAACCATACAAGGACCACCACTAAAACCCGCTCGCATGCACCTTAGATTAAACACACGACCTACCCTCAGATGGGTGCCACACCGTCCTACACCGCAACACTCTGGGGCGGCGGAGGCCGGACGAGAACTGGACTTGACACCAACCGGCGACACAGTCACAGACGGGTGACCTACCCCCTCACCGGCGCCACCAACCCCACGGGTACACTGCCTACGACCTGCTAGGTAGCTACGGGAAGCAACTCCCCTAGACCTCTACCTACCAGCGGCACATTGCCCCTTACTACTATTACCCCAACGAGCTACAAAAACCTAAACTAGCTGCCCCACTACACACACCCGACTACCTTACACCCCTTCTCCCACCCCCTCCTTCCCTCGTAGACCCCTCCCTCCCCTCTCCCTTACACCCACCTACACCCCCCCCTGACCCTCGCCCGCCCGGGTCCACCGGCCGGTCCGGCCCGGGGGCGACACCCACAGCATGGGCCCGCCCCACGCCCCCTACGCGGGCAGACCCAACTGGGACCACCTCAAACTCTACACGCTTAACGCGAGAGGCCTCAACTCTCCTCATAAACGGGCCAGAGCGTTACGGGAACTCAGAGCACTGGGAGTGTCGATAGCCTTCTTCCAGGAAACCCATTTTCACGCACCACAGGCCCCGAAGTTCTCCAACAAACACTACCCCAACGGCCACTTCGCGCACAACCCCTCGACCAAATCTAAGGGAGTAGCCATACTATTCTCAGCAAACACCCAGTTCCACCTGGAAGCAGAAGTAAGAGACACGGAGGGCAGATATCTCTTTATTAAGGGGAAAATAGGCAACTCCACACTCACGTTTGCAAACCTGTACCTCCCAAACAAAGGCCAGAAACCGTTTCTGGCCTCGGCCCTCAGAACCCTAGAAGAATTCGGTGAAGGCACAATCATAATTGGAGGAGACTTCAATGCCCCCCTAGACCCCAAAATGGACACGTCCAAAGGCGCATCTACGATACCAGGACACATCCTCAGAGGAATGAGGACTCTCCTCTCAAATCACCAATTTACAGACACCTGGCGCATCCTACACCACACAGACAGAGATTTCACCTACTACTCAGCACCACATAGATCCTACTCAAGGATAGATTATTTTTTCACCCAACACAGAGACCTAGACACGCTGCTAGCAGCCCAAATAGCGCCTATGACCTGGTCAGACCACGCACCAGTAATCATCACCATAGAACACCCCAAGCCCTTAAAACCGCAATGGACGTGGAAATTAAATGAATCGCTCCTGGAAGACCCACTAATCCAAACAGACGTACGCTCCGCTCTAGAACACTTCTTCCTCACCAACAAGACACCTGACTCCACGCCGCCTACAATATGGGAGGCGCATAAATGCGTCATTAGAGGGATCCTTATCAAACATGGCACCCGCCTGAAAAAACAACGTACACAAGAAATTGCACACCTTGTCACCCAGGTGGCCCAACTGGAAGCAAAACACAAACACACCCTTCATGACGCCACCTATAAACAACTTCTGGAGACTAGAGCGAAACTCAACTCTCGGTTACAATCAAAGATCCAATTCCAGTTCCAACTCGCAAAAAAAACATTTTACGAATTCGGAAATAAAAGTGGCAAACTATTAGCCAGAGCACTGAGAGCGCGCAGGCAAAAATGCCACGTCCAAAAGATCACAGCAGCAGGGACACACATGCTCACACCCAAAGCCATAGCAGACGGCTTCCGACAATACTACTCCTCCCTATATTGCTTACCTCTACACACTTCGCGAACAAACTCCACAGAAGCAACCTTCATAGCTCGTCAGAAAGAATATATAGCGCAGAACCTGACTTCCAAGCTCCCGCCCCGGGCCGTAACCGCACTGGAGGAAGACATCACTGCCGAAGAAATACATCTAGCAATCAAACTGGCCAAACAGGGGAAAAGCCCAGGACCAGACGGGTACACGGCAAAATACTACAAGACGTTCGCAGACGCTCTCACCCCACACCTGCTTACCCTGTTTAATGCCATCCATAAGGGGAACCCACTGGATCCCAACACGCTCCTGGCCCATATCGTGGTGATACCGAAGGAAGGAAAAGACCCGTCCTCATGCACCAGCTACCGACCAATATCCCTGCTGAACACTGACCTCAAGCTGCTCGCCAAGGTACTGGCACTCCGCCTCCAACCCTTACTACCGGACCTCATCCACCCTGACCAAGTGGGATTTGTGGAGGGAAGAGAGGCCAGGGACAACACCGTCAAGGCACTCAACCTAATACACGCAGCTGGACGAGGACACAAGCCCGCCCTATTGGTCTCGACAGACGCCGAAAAGGCGTTTGACAGGGTGGACTGGTCCTTCTTATTCTCCACCCTAGAGCACCTTGGGATGGGACCGCACATGCTGGCCCGGATATCAGCGCTATACACCAACCCAGCTGCCCGAGTACAAGTAAACGGAATTCTCTCGGATCCTTTCGAAATAAGAAACGGCACGAGGCAGGGCTGCCCACTATCGCCCCTGCTATTTGTCCTCAGCTTGGAGCCGTTCCTAAATGCCATCAGAACCCAACCCAACATCGCAGGGATCGAAGGCGGGTGGGGAGTCAGCAAGGTTGCGGCATACGCGGACGACCTCCTGTTTACCATCACCGACCCAGCATCCTCCCTCAGAGAATTAATGCATCAATTTGACACTTATGGCATACTGTCAAACCTAAAAATCAACTTCACCAAATCAGAAATCCTCAATGTGGGCTGCCCCCAACCACTGGTAAACATACTACAAAATGACTTCCCTTTCCACTGGTGCACAGAAGCAATCAAATACTTAGGTATCTGGCTGTCGGCAGACCTCACAGCCAGTTTCAGAATCAACTTCCCACCCCTTCTTGACCAGATTAAAAAAGACCTGAACGCATGGCAGCTGCCACACATCACATGGCTGGGGAGGATCAGCGTACTCAAGATGAACATACTCCCACGACTCCTGTACCTCTTGCAAACCCTACCCATACACATTCCCACCACCTTCTTCACCCAAGCCCGACAGATAATGACAGAGTACGTGTGGCATCGCCAGAGGGCGAGATTGAACTTCGCCACTCTCACGAGACCCAAACACCACGGGGGACTGGGCCTACCCGATCTGACCAAATATCGGCGAGCCGTCCATCTCCAGCGTCTGATTGAATGGACACACAACCCGGAAAACAAACTTTGGATCCCGATTGAGGCAAGCTTCTCACAGACCCCCCTATCTCTTCTCCCTTGGCTACCAAAAGCTATGACCAACGAACTACCACGACAACACCCAACCATAAACGCTACTCTGGCGGTCTGGAGAGGCTTAGCGCGACACAGGGACATGGCCCCGGAGCTATCTCCCCTCTGCCCTATCTCCCATAACCCCAAATTCCCCCCGGCGATGGAACCTCGCTACGTCACAACCCTAGGGCTGCCATATCCATGCAGACTAAAGGACATATACAAACAAGGCACGATTACCCCTCTGAGAGACCTGGTCCCAGATACCACGCACAACTGGCCACTCCGCTTCAGATACCACCAGCTTACGAAATTCCTGACGCACATGCCCGAACTGAAATCGGCAACACGAACACTCTCCACCTTCGAAACCCTTTGCACAAGCCCCTCGATCCCACCACACGCAATCTCACTCCTATACACACTACTAATCACACCTCCCACTGATGCTCCCCTCCCTTACTTCACCAGATACTGGGAAAAAGATCTAGGACACCCACTCACCAGGGAACAATGGACCACAGTGTTTACGCTCATACACAAAGCCTCTATAGCCACCAAATACCAGGAAGCAGGATATAAAATGATCTCGCACTGGTACCGAACACCAGAGAAATTATCGGCAATGATGTCCACCTGTGAACCAGAATGTTGGAGATGCAGGAAAGAACTGGGAACCCTCTTCCATATATGGTGGACCTGCCCACTCATCAAACCATTCTGGACGGAAATCCACAAAGTCCTAGAGACCGTAACGGACGCGAAGCTACAACTTACACCCGAAACCTATCTGCTCCACCTGACCCCGCTCCCCTTCAACAAATACAAAAAATCTGTAATCCCGCATCTCCTGAATGCGGCTCGCAGCCTCATTCCGAGACACTGGAAACAACCTACGGCCCCGACAATCAATGAATGGATGATCAGAGTAGAAGACATCAGACGTATAGAGGAGCTCATCCTCTCGGCGACGGGATGCATACAACGCTACCACGACACCTGGTATCACTGGTCACAATGGCTCACCTCTGCCACAGCGATGGGAGACGGGGACTTACAGCCCTCAGATACAGAAGTGGAATTGTCCCCCCGGGCCGAGGCCGGAGGAGCTGGACCGAGACCTGGGCCGTCCCCCGCCTAACCCACCACTAACTCCCTATACCTCATCCCGCTTAACCTGAAACCACCCACACCCCCCGGTCCCCATTCTTCATTACCCCCCCCTCGCCCCCTCCTGAGCGACTCCGCCCACCTACAACCCTTCAGAGACAAACCAACACAGAGATGAATAATCATGACACAAGACAAACAACGCTCACCCCTCACTCCCCCCCAACACAGATCGAACGACACGCACCGTACCCATGACACACAACAGAGACATACACAAGACAGCACGCCAGAGACAACACTCACGCTACACACAACACGACAACTACCGGGCCAGAAACCCCCAGCTTTCTCCCCCAGCTACCAGACGGCTCTGAGCGTAGCAACACTTAGACACACAAACCAATGCTGCCAGTACACCCCACCCCACCCCCGTTCATAACACTAACGGACCGGCTCCGAGCTCCATACCCGAAGCCCCAACAAAAGACCCACCCCACTGGACCCCACCAACGCAACCCAGGGCATATATCCCCACTAAATAAGACCTCCACATGTACACCCATCCAACCAATGAAACCCCACATACTAAAACAATATGAGCAGTACAACCTGTTAGGTATACCTAACCCACCCCCAAGATAAACACTGAATCACATCCCCCACTAAAACTCATAAATCTGTAACTTACCGCAAAACTACCCACACCATACCACAAATGTTGAATGATTCAAAACACGCAACTGTTTCTAAAAACTCTGTTCATTATATGCGCATGGCCCGATCTTCAGTAGCCATGACGATGGGATCAACTCAGTGAGTTACCAAACCCCACGGCACTGAAATACCCACATACATATTTTATATCTTATGTTTTTTATGCCTAAACCATTACCTGCTCTGTAAACTAACTGTTACCATGCTATATTAAGATGCCCATGTACCTTCTACCTGCTGTATCCTTCTTCAAACTGGATTGTTACGCGAATTTAAATCAAAATAAAAACTTTTTGAATTAAAAAAATAAATGTTAAGATGAAGTTGCCATGGTGCCTAGAGTGCTTTTCTAAGTACTGAAAGTTAATTAACCTACTGATATTGCCTCTGAATTTTCACCAGAAAGAAAAATCTAAAATTTAAAATAGTCCCTAAATTTATAATATATTAATGTCCTGAAATTTCAATATTTTTGGAAAAGAACATATCAAAAACTATATATTGCAAAACTATATAGGATATGAATTAAAATGGGAATTGATTACATTTCATACACTTTTTTTTTTTAAAATCATTCTCCATAATATTACAAGATTATGATGAACACACACTGAAAAATATAAATACTATTTAATCTTTTCTACTTTGTTGCAGGGCCTTATTACTGTGCATCTGGAAACATGTTGACAGCAACAAATGCATGCATGAAATTCCCTTCTAGCATCAATGTTAACTCTCTTAAATCACAAACCCAGCGTTATGCCAACAGTGGCCTGATTGATCCTGTTTTAAACCTTGCAAATTCTAAAGTGTTCATCTTTTCAGGCAGTAGAGATTCCGTCGTAGTTCCAGGTAAGTAACAAATATTTATAAAGAATTATTTTCTGAAGAGGTTTTGTGGATAACAATGTCGAATCTGCCCTACTTTGTAAAAAGAAATCAAGAGAAATCAGCACCCTATAAAGCCTGTACCTTTTATAACATGTAAAGCATGCAAACATCAGAAGGATGCATGTGTCCAGTGCTTCTCTGTGAGAAGCATTCTATTGGCACAGCTCAGAAATTGCTGTTGGATTGGAGAATTGGCCCTAGAGCTCTTCATTATTGAGCATCTCCCAAGGCAGAGAGGAGAACTAGCAAGAAAGCCGTCTCTCCACTGGATAACAGATAAGTAGTGTTGTTGGGTTTTTTACTTTATATTAAGAGGCAGGGCGGGATGCACCTAAATATATATATAAACAATTGTACACTCCAAAAATAACTTAGACATAACTTATTACGATTAGTGATTTACATAAGGCTTTTAAAAAATATAATCAAACACTGGTGACAGACAAACACAAAGATTTTGCAGTGTATCGTCAATATATAAGTGTCTAAATAGGAAGGTCATTTTTATCATTTTCATGTTTCCCCTAGGTGTGGTGAAAAAACTGGAGGAATATTACTTATCCTATGTGAACTCTGGAAACGTTCGAACTGTGTATGATATCCCAGTTGAGCATGGAATGGTGAGTGCAGGTTAACAGGGAAAATTACCTTAATTACATTTTTAAAAAGCACATGACATTGGTAACCAGACCTACCCTTAATCCAGGAACTTTATAAGAAATCTACACTGAAAAACCTTATAGAATTCCCTCAAGTTAAATAGTCAATCAAGTCACAGCCTTTGTAAATATACTCTTTGACATTTAGCATGACAGAGTCTAGAACATTTAAATTACACATTGCTTTACCTAAATGTCTACCAAATGTCCATTTTCCTGAAGTAATAAAACTAAACATTTTACACTGAAAGTGGTTCAAGTCATGTTGCAAAAGGAACAATACATAAATTCTGTGGCTCTCTCACACAGTATATCCAAGAGCAAGAACTTGTTTGCATCTTTGGTCACTTCACTTACAACTTTCCTCTAAGTCCTAAAAAGGAACAATCCATGACCATCCATAGTTAAATCCCTTTACTAGTAGGCTTAGACTGGCTATCAATCAAAAGTGTCTGGTTTAATCTAGCCACATTGAAATGGAGAGTATTTCATCTTAAGTTACTTATTGTTTTGATGTGCTGAACTTTTATTTTATTATATGTTTTGTTTTAGCCCACTGATAGCTATGGAGGTGCGTGTGGATCAACCAATAGCGAATATATCAACAATTGTGGCTACAATGGGGCTTATGAGGCTCTGAATCACATCTATGGAGGACTTAGAGTAAGCAGACCATTGCAGAATCAGTACATTTTACAGAGAAATTAAATTCAATAAAACGAATATCTTATACTATTATTATTTTATTATTTTTAGAAGCCAAGTAGTTCTGCTGGACTAACTGGACAGGTATGGAAACTCATTATAATAACCCGAGAGGGTATAGCAAAGAAACCCACAACGTATACTTTTACAGAAAATGTTGAACACACAGTATATTACTTATACCTTTGTATGGATTTTTATTGTATGCATTCACATGCAAAGGATGAAACGCATTAGGAGCTCATTCACTTTTATTCAGCTCTTTTTCTGCGTGAACTTTCATTATTATTATTATTATTATTATCGCCATTTATATAGCGCCAACAGATTCCGTAGCGCTTTACAATAATATGAGAGGGGTATTTAACTATAAATAGGACAATTACAAGAAAACTTACAGGAACGATAGGTTGAAGAGGACCCTGCTCAAATGAGCTTACAGTCTACAGTAAGCAGCAAATAGTCACTTTTTTGTTAATGACCATGATTGGGTGATTTTTTTCCTCTTTGGGGAAACTGACAGGACCTGTGTGTGTCATTATGACCAGGAACTGGAATTTTTCATGCACCCATTAGCAAGATGCAATAGATAATCTAAAAAAATACTGTTATCTTAACTTTACCCATTCCAGTGCTGTGTCATTTACTGCGGTTTCACAGCAGATTGCAGAGTTTTTAGGGTCTCACTCAGAGTTGGTTAAATACTGTACTTATACTGTATTTATTTCATGTCTGCAGTTGATCCTGTTCGATCAATCAGAATATTTTAAACTGGCTCCTGCCGTGTCTTATGGGATGGATACAGCTGGATATGTGTACATTCCTTCCTCTTGTCAAAGTAGCACAAGTAAGTACAATCTTAATTGAATTAAAACATTTGCAGGACACATACCCCCACCCCTCCTTGCCAAATGTGCCTGTCTTAAGATATTTTATTAATTATTACTCACCCATTTCTTGCTAATCTTTTTCACTTAATAAGGTTTTGGAAACTCTCAGGATATGCACCATACTGTGAATCTGGAATGCACAATGGAATTTCAAATTGTATTTAAAACTAGCAAACTGGAAACAATTCTCCAAATAAACTACGTTTCAAGCACAGCTCTTTTGACAATAAATTTACAGTTCCCTAGTGAATTTCTAAGAGTTCACAGTTTACTAATTAAAGGGACACTATAGTCACCTGGACAACTTTAGCTTAATGAAGCAGTTTTGGTGTATAGAACATGCCCCTGCAGCCTCACTGCTCAATCCTCTGCCATTTAGGAGTTAAATCCCTTTGTTTATGAACCCTAGTCACACCTCCCTGCATGTGACTTGCACAGCCTTCCATAAACACTTCCTGTAAAGAGAGCACTATTTAGGCTTTCTTTATTGCAAGTTCTGTTTAATTAAGATGTTCTTATTCCCTGCTATGTTAATAGCTTGCTAGACCCTGCAAGAGCCTCCTGTATGTGATTAAAGTTCAATTTAGAGAATGAGGTACAACTATTTAAGGTAAATTACATCTGTTTGAAAGTGAAACCAGTTTTTTTTTCATGCAGGCTCTGTCAATCATAGCCAGGGGAGGTGTGGCTAGGGCTGCATAAACAGAAACAAAGTGATTTAACTCCTAAATTACAGTGAATTGAGCAGTGAAATTGCAGGGGAATGATCTATACACTAAAACTGCTTTATTTAGCTAAAGTAATTTAGCTGACTATAGTGTTCCTTCAATGTAACCTTGCTAGTTACTATCGTCCCAAAATAAATGCAGGGGGAAAAAATACTTCTTAGCGAGTACAAACTCAATTATGGTTTCTGTTACATGCTGACATAAAGCTGTTTTAGTCTAAAGTTTATATTTTTTTAGGATGCAGACTACACATTGCTTTCCATGGCTGCCTCCAGGGAAGGTAAGTTCTTTAAAATATTCAGAATGTTATGGACATTTATTAATTTTAAAATTATTCCATGAAAATTTGGTTTTGGCCCCAAAGCTGGAAAATCATCTGGTATTGTTTTCCCACTAATAAGATCCTGTGGCTAAGGATATTAACCCAGCTAATACAATTGGCATGAGGAGATTGTGATTATTGATGGATTGGTCAATTGTCATGCTCCCATTAAATATTATTCTATTGTTTTAATAAACACATTTTAATATGCATTTTATTAATTTATTTTTTAAGAAATGTATAATATTCTGCAGAGTAAGCAAACTACACTTTTAAAGTGGAATGTTTCCTGCACATTTTGTTCTGAAAATTGTAATGGGGAATGGGGAAATTTACTTAGTCAGAAGTCAGGAGACTTCTGAAAGTGTTCATTTCCTAGGCGATTATTTTTAGAATGAAAAACATATACCAGAATTATATCAGAATTGTAACGAACAGTGAAAAGAATAATCATTAATATTAATATGGATATTTTTATTTTAAATGGTGAGACTGGAGGCATGGCATGATGAAGTTATTCTAGTTTTAATGGATTTTAAACAGGGTTTTTTTTTACTGAAAAGATCATTTAGAAAAGGACTGACTAATTTCTTCATAGAATGTGACGGCAGATAAGAACCATTCGGCCCATCTAGTCTGCCCAATTTTCTAAATACTTTTATTAGTCCCTGGCCTTATCTTATAGTTAGGATAGCCTTCTGTCTGTCCCACACATGCTTAAACTCGTTTACTGTGTTAACCTCTACCACTTCAGCTGGAAGGCTATTCCATGCATCCACTACCCTCTCAGTAATGTATTACTTCCTGATATTATTTTTAAACCTTTGCCCCTCTAATTTAAGACTATGTCCTCTTGTTGTGGTAGTTTTTCTTCTTTTATATATAGTCTCCTCCTTTACTGTGTTGATTACCTTTATGTATTTAAATGTTTCTATCATATCACCCCTGTCTCGTCTTTCCTCCAAGCTATACATGTTAAAATCCTTTAACCTTTCCTGGTAAGTTTTATCCCGCAATCCATGAACCAGTTTAGTAGCCCTTCTCTGAGCCCACTCTAAGGTATCAATATCCTTCTGAAGATACGGTCTCCAGTACTGTGCCTACCTTTAAGTCATCAGAAATAATCACCCCTAAATCCCTTTCCTCATATGTTGAGGTTAGGACTCTATCAAATATTCTGTACTCTGCCCTTGGGTTTTTACGTCCAAGATGCATTACCTTGCACTTATCCACATTAAATGTCAGTTGCCACAATTCTGACCATTTTTCTAGTTTACTTAAATCATTTGTCATTTGGCTTATCGCTCCTGGAACATCAACCCTGTTACATATCTTAGTATCTTCAGCAAAAAGACATACCTTACCATCAAGACCTTCTGCAATATCACTAATAAAAATATTAAAGAGAATGGGTCCAAGTACAGATCCCTGAGATACCCCACTGGTGACAAGTCCAAGCTTCGAATATATTCTATTAACTACAACCCTCTGTTGCCTGTCACTCAGCCACTGCCTTATCCATTCAACAATATTGGAATCCAAACATAAAGATTGCAGTTTATTGATAAGCCTTCTATGAGCAACAGTGTCAAAAGCCTTACTGAAATCTAGGTAAGCAATGTCTACTGCACCACCCTGATCTATAATTTTAGTTACCCAATCAAGAAAATCAATAAGATTAGTTTGGCATGATCTCCCTGAAGTAAACCCATGTTGTCTCTGATCTTGAAATCCATGTGTTTTTAGATGTTCATCAATCCTATCCTTTAACATGGTTTCCATCACTTTTCCCCACTACTGAAGTAAGGCTTACTGGCCTATAGTTGCCCGACTCCTCCCTATTACCTTTCTTGTAAATGGGCACAACATTGGCTAACTTCCAATCTTCTGGGACTACTCCTGTTAACAATGATTGGTTAAATAAATCTGTTAATGGTTTTGCTAGTACACCACTAAGCTCTTTTAATAGCTTTGGGTGTATTCCATCAGGTCCCATTGACTTATTTGTCTTTACTTTTGACAGTTGAAATAGAACCTCTTCCTCTGTAAACTCACGTGTAATAAATGACTCATTTATCCTTTTTCTTAACTGAGGTCCCTTTCCTTCATTTTCATCTGTAAATACAGAACAAAAATATTCATTGAGGCAGTCAGCTAGACCTTTATCCTCTTCTACATACCTTCCTTCTTTTGTTTTTAATCTAACTAATCCTTGTTTTGCTTTTCTTTTCTCATTTATGTATCTAAAAAATGTTTTATCCCCCTTTTTTACTGACTGTGCTATTTTCTCTTCTGTGTGTGATTTGGAAGCTCTTATAACTTGCTTAGCCTCTTTCTGCCTAATCTTATAGATCATTCTGTCTTCCTCACTCTGGGTTTTTTCTAATTATATTTGTAGATATTAGGATTGAGAGGGTGATGCTACATTCCCGTAACTGCTATTCCCACATATGAATTACCCCACTATTTATCTGTGATTCATCCCTTCTCATTCTTCTACCAGTTATGGCTTTTCCATATGCCCTTCTTGTTTTTAGCTGGTCCCCACATAATGGTGCCAGACAACTCTTTCATACAGGACAGGTTTCCTCTACTGATAGAACACTCCATCTTCCATCAAGTCTCAGATCATTTGCTGTCATTTCCCAGAAAACATGCACTGTTTTTGAACTAGTGGTTTTAGTTAAATATCCTTCTTTAAATATGTATCTGTATTATTTAAAGTACTTGTTATCACATCTCACCTTGGCCTTTTTATGGATAAGTAGGAAACAAAGTTAGGAACATTTTCAAATAAAGCTCACTGGGAAATATCCATGATATCCCTCTTTGAACGTCATATATAACTTCAATAATACTGTATTGTGCCTCTTGTAATTACACAGCAGAATACCATGCATAAGTGATACCTATTAGAGATGTAAAACGTATATCGGAATTATAGTGCACTGCATCTTAAAGATAACTCATTCCCCTTTAGATTGTAAGATTGCAAGCAGAGCTCACAAAATCTATGGTATAATTTGTGTCTATCTCCAAATCAGACTTTTGCTATTAAGAGAAGACCATACTGTTAGGAATACAAATATGTAATCTTAAAGGACCACTCTGTGACGGAACGCTGGCACTCCGACTGAGTACCTCTGCCAATCGATGCTCCTAGTGCTCGCTGAGGACTCCAAGCACTCCAACCGACACCATCAGCACTGCAGACCCCAGTTCCAGCGATGCAACTGCGCCGGGGTCTCTGCTGTTTCCACCCACCCTGGACCCAAGGCCAGGATCCAGCTTCCAGTGGGTGAACCTCTCTTTCCCCAGAGAGCAGGAACAGGAACAAATGAAGCTATTGCAAGAGCTTCCTCTGGGGAGTAAGTGATTATAGCAATCCCCAGAGTGTAGGTATCCCTTCCCCCAAACATGAGCCAAGGCTTAATGCTGGAACAAGACTGATTTACTGGCACACAGAACTCACAATTTATGCAACACAAAACTCCTCCTCTGGGCCAGGCTAGATAATTGAGTTTCTACAATACACAAAGCTCAATTATCTGCTGGCCAGAAATAATACAGTTTCATAAAACACACAGGGACCCCAAAACATGCAATAACCCCATAAAAAGTATATCCTTGGAACCGGGGGATCTGGTTGAACCACATATCCAAAATTCACCCAGATCCGTTCAGTACTTTGGAAAATACAGTTTAATGCAGATTCTGCAGAACATATACAGGCTAAATTAAAAACAATCACTGTATAATGTGTCCCCTGCTGTATAGTCTAAAACCACTGCACGATGTCTCTGTGCACCAAATACTGGCGAGATGGCACCGTGTTGAAAAGTCCAAACAGTGTCTGTGAGTTAAAATGGCCGCCATCCATTGTTCTCACCATGTGCTTCTGATACAGGAAATGGTGGCCACCCAGTAACTCCACAGTATGTCCCCAGATGGTTCTTAAAGGGCCAGCAGCAGCACAACACAAATCCATTATGCCCAAATCATGTCTTTAAAGGGCAATACAAACCAGGGGCCATAGTCACAGGGCAAGAGGCGGGCAAGCAGTCCTCTCCAGGCACAAGTGGCGAAGGGCACTTCGTCACACATCTTCCCTTTGGGGGGAAGACTAAACAGGTACCTGACCTTCTGCCGGTCAGTACCTAGATTAGTCGGGCAGCCCACCCACAAAGAAAAATACGCAGAGTAACCCCCCCACAATAAATGGTACTGGCCTGTAGGTTCAAGTTTGTAGTGGGACAGCGCAGCACTCTCGGTCTCCCTGGTGCAGCTAGGCAAACTGCTGGTGTTGCTTGGGGGGCAGAGGCCAGCGGCGCTCTGCCCTGCTGCCAGCTCTTCCACTGGGGTAACCCGTGGTAAGTCAGGCTCTGATACAGTGGAAAAGGGGGGGCAGAGGCTAACAGAGCTCTGCCCAGAGGCCAGCTCTTCTGCTGGGAGGTGGTCAGTGGGTATCGCAGGCTCATCCACTGCCCCCAGGACCCGGTTGGGATGTAGCTGGGGAGGGGAAGTTTTGCTTACCTCCTCCTCCTGGCATCCCTGCGGGGTTGGTTGGGGATCTGGACTGCCCGTCCAGCCTCCCTGTAGGACTGGCACAGAGACCGCGGTCCCATCTGCGCCAGTGTGGTTAGGTTTGTCTTCCCCCTCTCCCGGTATCTCTGGCTGCTGTTGGAGGGGGAGGCTGGTTGCCCCCACTCCCCAGGACGCTGGTTGCTGTAAGGTGGAGGGATCGACCATCACCTCCTCCTGGAACTCAGGCCGCCGCTGGGGAGAGAGACCAGTTGTCTCCTCTCCCTGTATATTATGCTGCCGCTGGGGACCTGGGCTGGCTGCCCAGCATCCCTGTAGGGCCGGCAGAGAGACTTCGGTCCCATCTCCGCTTGCCATCTCTGTGTGTCCCCAGGACAAGTCTATGAGGTCGCCCACCTCCGGCTGCTGTTGGAGAGGGAGGCCGGTTGCCTCCCCTCCCCAGGACGCTGGTTGCTGTACGGGGGAGGGATCTACCATCACCTCCTCCTGGAACTCAGGCCGCCGCTGGGGAGAGAGACCGGTTGTCTCTTCCCTCTGTACGGTGCACTGCCGCTGGGATGGGAGGTCGCTGCTCTCCTCTCCCTGTAACTCACTCTGTCGCTGGAGACGGGGTGTCAATACCCCCAAACTCCACAGTTGGTACTCGAAGTTCCGTGCGTCTTGGTTCTCAGCACTCAACATGCGCATCACTTGATGGACCACCTCATCTGAAGGGTTTGGGCCAAACCAGACCAGCCGCGCCTTTACTTCCTTCATGAAATCAGCACCCTCATAGCACTGTGACAGGCGGATTTGCAATTCACTGGCTGCTGTCCAGGGTCTTGCTAGCTCCATGTTGCTGTAGGTAGGGACGCTGCGCAGAGGCTAGCGTTGCCCTCAATTATAAATCCGTAACTCCACACGTTACCGGTGTCTCCGAGCTGCTGGTCCTCGCACTAGGACGCCATCCCGCCGCTGCCACCATATGTGACGGATGCTCCTAGTGCTCGCTGAGGACTCCAAGCACTCCAACCGACACCATTAGCACTGCAGACCCCACTTCCAGCGATGCAACTGCGCCGGGGTCTCTGCTGTTTCCACCCACCCTGGACCCAAGGCCAGGATCCAGCTTCCAGTGGGTGAACCTCTCTTTCCCCAGAGAGCAGGAACAGGAACAAATCAAGCTATTGCAAGAGCTTCCTCTGGGGAGTAAGTGATTATAGCAATCCCCAGAGTGTAGGTATCCCTTCCCCCAAACATGAGCCAAGGCTTAATGCTGGAACAAGACTGATTTACTGGCACACAGAACTCACAATTTATGCAACACAAAACTCCTCCTCTGGGCCAGGCTAGATAATTGAGTTTCTACAATACACAAAGCTCAATTATCTGCTGGCCAGAAATAATACAGTTTCATAAAACACACAGGGACCCCAAAACATGCAATAACCCCATAAAAAGTATATCCTTGGAACCGGGGGATCTGGTTGAACCACATATCCAAAATTCACCCAGATCCGTTCAGTACTTTGGAAAATACAGTTTAATGCAGATTCTGCAGAACATATACAGGCTAAATTAAAAACAATCACTGTATAATGTGTCCCCTGCTGTATAGTCTAAAACCACTGCACGATGTCTCTGTGCACCAAATACTGGCGAGATGGCACCGTGTTGAAAAGTCCAAACAGTGTCTGTGAGTTAAAATGGCCGCCATCCATTGTTCTCACCATGTGCTTCTGATACAGGAAATGGTGGCCACCCAGTAACTCCACAGTATGTCCCCAGATGGTTCTTAAAGGGCCAGCAGCAGCACAACACAAATCCATTATGCCCAAATCATGTCTTTAAAGGGCAATACATCCCAGGGGCCATAGTCACAGGGCAAGAGGCGGGCAAGCAGTCCTCTCCAGGCACAAGTGGCGAAGGGCACTTCGTCACACATCTTCCCTTTGGGGGGAAGACTAAACAGGTACCTGACCTTCTGCCGGTCAGTACCTAGATTAGTCGGGCAGCCCACCCACAAAGAAAAATACGCAGAGTAACCCCCCACAATAAATGGTACTGGCCTGTAGGTTCAAGTTTGTAGTGGGACAGCGCAGCACTCTCGGTCTCCCTGGTGCAGCTAGGCAAACTGCTGGTGTTGCTTGGGGGGCAGAGGCCAGCGGCGCTCTGCCCTGCTGCCAGCTCTTCCACTGGGGTAACCCGTGGTAAGTCAGGCTCTGATACAGTGGAAAAGGGGGGGCAGAGGCTAACAGAGCTCTGCCCAGAGGCCAGCTCTTCTGCTGGGAGGTGGTCAGTGGGTATCGCAGGCTCATCCACTGCCCCCAGGACCCGGTTGGGATGTAGCTGGGGAGGGGAAGTTTTGCTTACCTCCTCCTCCTGGCATCCCTGCGGGGTTGGTTGGGGATCTGGACTGCCCGTCCAGCCTCCCTGTAGGACTGGCACAGAGACCGCGGTCCCATCTGCGCCAGTGTGGTTAGGTTTGTCTTCCCCCTCTCCCGGTATCTCTGGCTGCTGTTGGAGGGGGAGGCTGGTTGCCCCCACTCCCCAGGACGCTGGTTGCTGTAAGGTGGAGGGATCGACCATCACCTCCTCCTGGAACTCAGGCCGCCGCTGGGGAGAGAGACCAGTTGTCTCCTCTCCCTGTATATTATGCTGCCGCTGGGGACCTGGGCTGGCTGCCCAGCATCCCTGTAGGGCCGGCAGAGAGACTTCGGTCCCATCTCCGCTTGCCATCTCTGTGTGTCCCCAGGACAAGTCTATGAGGTCGCCCACCTCCGGCTGCTGTTGGAGAGGGAGGCCGGTTGCCTCCCCTCCCCAGGACGCTGGTTGCTGTACGGGGGAGGGATCTACCATCACCTCCTCCTGGAACTCAGGCCGCCGCTGGGGAGAGAGACCGGTTGTCTCTTCCCTCTGTACGGTGCACTGCCGCTGGGATGGGAGGTCGCTGCTCTCCTCTCCCTGTAACTCACTCTGTCGCTGGAGACGGGGTGTCAATACCCCCAAACTCCACAGTTGGTACTCGAAGTTCCGTGCGTCTTGGTTCTCAGCACTCAACATGCGCATCACTTGATGGACCACCTCATCTGAAGGGTTTGGGCCAAACCAGACCAGCCGCGCCTTTACTTCCTTCATGAAATCAGCACCCTCATAGCACTGTGACAGGCGGATTTGCAATTCACTGGCTGCTGTCCAGGGTCTTGCTAGCTCCATGTTGCTGTAGGTAGGGACGCTGCGCAGAGGCTAGCGTTGCCCTCAATTATAAATCCGTAACTCCACACGTTACCGGTGTCTCCGAGCTGCTGGTCCTCGCACTAGGACGCCATCCCGCCGCTGCCACCAAATGTGACGGATGCTCCTAGTGCTCGCTGAGGACTCCAAGCACTCCAACCGACACCATTAGCACTGCAGACCCCACTTCCAGCGATGCAACTGCGCCGGGGTCTCTGCTGTTTCCACCCACCCTGGACCCAAGGCCAGGATCCAGCTTCCAGTGGGTGAACCTCTCTTTCCCCAGAGAGCAGGAACAGGAACAAATCAAGCTATTGCAAGAGCTTCCTCTGGGGAGTAAGTGATTATAGCAATCCCCAGAGTGTAGGTATCCCTTCCCCCAAACATGAGCCAAGGCTTAATGCTGGAACAAGACTGATTTACTGGCACACAGAACTCACAATTTATGCAACACAAAACTCCTCCTCTGGGCCAGGCTAGATAATTGAGTTTCTGCAATACACAAAGCTCAATTATCTGCTGGCCAGAAATAATACAGTTTCATAAAACACACAGGGACCCCAAAACATGCAATAACCCCATAAAAAGTATATCCTTGGAACCGGGGGATCTGGGTGAACCACATATCCAAAATTCACCCAGATCCGTTCAGTACTTTGGAAAATACAGTTTAATGCAGATTCTGCAGAACATATACAGGCTAAATGAAAAACAATCACTGTATAATGTGTCCCCTGCTGTATAGTCCAAAACCACTGCACGATGTCTCTGTGCACCAAATACTGGCGAGATGGCACCGTGTTGAAAAGTCCAAACAGTGTCTGTGAGTTAAAATGGCCACCATCCATTGTTCTCACCATGTGCTTCTGATACAGGAAATGGTGGCCACCCAGTAACTCCACAGTATGTCCCCAGATGGTTCTTAAAGGGCCAGCAGCAGCACAACACAAATCCATTATGCCCAAATCATGTCTTTAAAGGGCAATACAAACCAGGGGCCATGGTCACAAGGCAAGAGGCGGGCAAGCAGTCCTCTCCAGGCACAAGTGGCGAAGGGCACTTCGTCACACACTCCACACCCCAATATTTTTATTTGGGTAGCCCACAAAATATTGGGACAAACAAAAAAAGAAACATTTGCGGCCTGCACATAGTGTACGTAGTATACTAAGTGACCCATAGGTTGAGGAGGCGGTGACCGTGGCGGTATAGGTGGAAGAGGCGGTGGAGGAGGCGGATGAGGTAGCCAACACTGTTTTTTATATATATATATATTTTATTTTATTTTTTTATTGGGGTAGCCCCCAAAATATTGGGACATATAAAAAAGACTCTGTTCCGCAGAGTAGCTGTTGACATTATAGTTGCGCAGGCACTTTGTTGACTCTAGAGAACCTCGGGCCAATCGCACATCCCCGTGACGGCGACTTTGCATTTGGATGTCATCCATATCAACTTTTGATGCCAGTTTCTGCGCCTACCATGGTGACCACGGAGAATCAGGGTTCCATTCCGTACAGGGACCCTGAGAAATGGCTACCACATGCAAGGAAGGCAGCAGGCGTGCAAATAACCCACTCCCGACGCGGGAAGGTAGTGACGACAAATAACAATTCAGGACTCGTTAGAGTCCCTGTAATTGTAATGAGTCCACTTGAAATCCTTTAACTCTGATCAACTGGAGGAAAGTCTGGTGCAGAGCCACTGACCCGTGCATGCTGCAGCTGAAACTCCACTATCGTCTGCTGCTGCTCAAACAGTCTCATGAGGCAGTGAGCGGGAAGGCCGAAGTTACGCTGCAGTGCAGACAGGCGAGCAGCAGCAGGGTGAGAACGCCAAAAGCGCGCACAGCCGCTACAGTGAATGTCACATCCTGTTCCAAGTTGCGGATCAGTCTGGTGATGGCTTCTGGTATCCAGTACTCTTTTTACTGAAGCTTCATCAGGGTCCTGGTATGTGGCCGCACAAACGCTGGTGCTCAACACCAGGGGGCGTGCGGTTACCCTGCACCAGATCCTGCTAATTAATTCCACACTGTGACCCCTAACTTCAGCATCAGGCATACTGGGTCCCGGTCATCCGACCGCCGCACAGACCCTGTCTGGGTCCTGGTCACTGGACTGCCCACCTGACTGTGAAACTACGAATGGATTGTTAAATCTGGTATGAACCCGAACTTTGTAGTTCGGGTTCGCTCAACTCAGTTATGGATCCTTTGATCGCTACATGTATTATTTGGATAACTGGAATTTCTCGAGCTAATACATGCCGACGAGCACTAGGGGACAGCCACTCCGCTTTTGCACCCTTCTCCCTCTTATGCTGTGCTGGTGCCTCTGTGCGACAAGCGCCTCTTCCTCCAAACTGCACACGTCACTCGCATGACCTTGATTCCATGTGGGGTCTAGGACCTCATCATCCTCCACATCATCTTCCACCCACTCCTCAACCCTGCCCTCCTTGCCGGTATGCACACTGCAGAAAGCCACAGCAGTTGGCACCTGTGTTTTTCCAGCATGTAAAGTCTGCATATGGAAATTGTTTTAGAATTGTATCCAAGCAACAGTTTTCCCTATAAACTGACCTCTCAGTTTGACTTGTGAGGGTATTGCCCCAGAATTACAATATTGTTCAAGTACCTCTTAGCTATTGATAACTGGTTTAAATATAGCAGCTTGTTATCTGGTAGTTTCTAGTGTAGAAAATATTAATCTGTTTTCTATCACTTAGATCTGTGTAACAAGTGTTGTAGGTGTGAAACAATATTACAAGTGACCAATGTAGTAAATTCGAATCAAAGTTCCATTTGCAAAAAAAATTATCGCCCATCTTCTGTGGGTTATTGCATTTTTAAGATGCAGACTTATTGTATCACACTAGCCATACACAGGTAGATTGTCTGGCACGTTTTGGTGTTTGGTGTTTGGTGTTTGGTTTTTAACTTTGTAGTTGTGTCTTTACACAATATAGAAATGTATATTAATGCTTCTGTATATGAAGCGATCACACTAACACTTATTTTTCACTTTTAAAAAAAAAATCAGGCTACACAAAAATTGGTAATTCACAATATGACATCTGAAAAGCACATGAAAGGATGCTGTATGATTAAAAAAAAAAAAAAAAAAAACACTACACGAAGGTCCTAGAGTGTGTATTCATGAATGTAACCAGTAAAATTTTGTTTTACAGCCACTGGTTGGCCCATACATATTTTAAAACTTGTTTAATTTTGTTGTAGCATGACTTGTAGATATGAAGAGCAGGCCCCAAAATGTATTATTTAGCAGATTAGCACCCAGAAAATAAGAATGTTTACCACTGTGCTGTAAGCCCACTATTAGACGCTTCTATTTGACTCTCAGATATGAAGTGCACACCCCAAATTTACTATTTAGCACAAATTTTTTTTTTTTTTTTTTTATTGACTTTTTAAAACTCCAATGTAAGCAGCAGATTAGCAGCAAAACAATTAGAATGTTTACAACTGGGCAGTAAGCGCACTATTTGACGCTTCTATTTGACTCTCACATATGAAGTGCACCGCAGTCCGCAAATGTACTATTTAGCAGATTAGTACCCAGAAAATAAGAATGTTTACCACTGCGCTGTAAGCACACTATTAGACGCTTCTATTTGACTCTCAGATATGAAGAGCAGGCCACAAATGTACTATTTAGCAGATTAGAACCCAGAAAATAAGAATGTTTACCACTGCACTGTAAGCACACTATTAGACGCTTCGATTTGACTCTCAGATATGAAGTGCATTCCGCAAATGTACTATTTAGCAGATTAGAACCCAGAAAATAAGAATGTTTACCACTGCACTGTAAGCACACTATTAGATACTTTGATATTTACTCTCAGATATGAAGAGGAGGCCCCAAAATGTACTATTTAGCAGATTAGCACCCAGAAAATTTGAATTTTTACAAGTGCACTGTAAGCACACTATTAGACGCTTCGATTTGACTCTCAGATATGAAGTGCGCGCCCCAAAATGTACTATTTAGCAGATTAGCACCCAGAAAATAAGAATGTTTACCACTGTGTTGTAAGCAAACTATTAGACAATTCTATTTGACTCTCAGATATAAAGTGCACCCCACTAAAATACAATTTAGCAGTTTAGCACCCAAAAAATGTTAAGTTTTAAAACTGCAATGTGACAGCAGTATTTGACGCTTCTATTTGACTCTCACATATGAAGTGCACCCCACTAATGTACTTTTTAGCACCCAAAAATTTTTACGTTTTAAAACTGCAATGTGACAGCAGTATTTGATGATTCTGTTTGACTCTCAGATATGAAGTGCACCCCACTAATGTACTATCCCACTAATGTACTATTTAGCACAAAAAAAATTGACTTTTTAAAACTCCAATGTAACCGCGGTATTTGAAGCTTCTATTTGACTCTCAGATATGAAGTGCACCCCACTAATGTACTAGTTTGCAGAATTCTTTCCTAAGCTGCAGCATCCTCTCCCTACACTAATAAGACCGCATTTGCGTGCGGCGCTACGCGACTCCAGCTTATATATAGAGGCTGGGTAACATGCTGCACTGGCCAATCACAGCCATGCCATTAGTAGGCATAGCTGTGATGGCTTCTAAGGGCACATGAGTCCTGCAGCCTTTGAAAACGCGCCATTAAATCGCCGAACACCGAACTCCAACCCGAACATACAGTGATATGTCCGTGTTCGGGTCCGGAGTCCAAAAAATTTAATGTTCGGTACGAACAGTTCGCTTAACTCTAGTGAAGAGATCTCCCAACTGCACATGTGTGCCCAATGCACTGTTCTAGCATTCCTAGGGAATGGACACTGGTTGGTTAGATCCTCTGGAGTGCCCCTCTGGAGCGTGTGAAAAGCGTAAAATAGCATAAGAAAGAAGAAACAGGTAAATATAGGTAAAACAAAAATCAGATTTACCTTGTTTTTTTCAGCCTCCATAGTGAGGTGACTGTCTCATTCAAAGTTAAAGCTTTTGAATGAGATAGCTGTCTCAAAGTAATGCATGTCCCTTTAATAAATGTTAATAAAATATGATGTACATACTCAAGCCTTATTTACTTGTAAAGTACTGAGCTGTACTGTTTATTTGTTTCATGTACAGGGCGAAGATTGGTGACCGTTATGCCAGGAATGCTGGTTACAATCAGGTTGCAGATTTGAATAATTTAATTATCCTGTATCCACAAGCAAAATCCAATTTAACTAATCCTAATGGATGCTGGGACTGGTAAATACACTTAAATATGTATATTGCTGTATAATACATTCCATATTTTAACTAACTTATACCTAAAATAAAAATAAACTTGAAAATACTAAAAAAATATGACTAATTTTACAATATCAGTTGTTCCATGATAATTCTCTGTCTCAAATATGATCTCATATTTAGCTATTGAAATAGTCATTCTAAAGTTTTAAAGTTTAATCCCAGAGATGATTTTTTCTGTGTGTAGGGTCACTTCCCTAAACTGGCAATCAGCCAGCTGGAATACTCTCTTTCTTACTTCCTGGTTATGGGCAATGTTTGCATTTGTTAGAACACACAGGTTGCACAAAGACATTTGCTAACCCCAAACTCCTTGGACAGGCTTCCCATGGCTGGGGGATTGTGCATACACAGTGTCAAAGATCATACAGCCAGGCTGTAAGGCAATTTAACTCTCCAACTCAGATAAACCAAAACATTCCTGGCTAATCATGGCAGCATCACTTATGGGTAACGCCTCCTTTAGTTGTCACAGGACAGGAATAATTAGAATAATTAATTAGACTGATAGGTATAAAGAGATCCTCCTCCCCCTACACCTCAGTCTAGGAGTAGTTCTACCTCCTCGTGCTACCATAGAATCTGGGATACATTCAGAGAATGGGCAACAGACAAGAACGTTGACTTCTTGCAACCTCGCAATACTCAGATCCTGGATTTCCTCCAAGAAGGTCTGGAGAAGGGCCTTAGCCTCAGCACTCTTAAAGTTCAGTCTTCTGCTCTTTCAGCATTATGCAATACCTCATGGGCCTCAGATCCTTTGATCTCAAGATTCTTTAAGGCAGCTTTCAGGTTAAGACCTCCTTCCAGATCCAGTACTCCTCCTTGGGATCTTCGTCTTGTTCTCAACTACCTGACGGATGACCTGTTTGTTCCCCTTGCAAATCTGGACACTACTCTTCTAATTTACAAGACTTTGTTTTTAGTGGCAATAATTTCCGCAAGAAGAATTTCTGAGATTAAAGCCTTTTCTACCATGAACTCCTGCTTACGGATCTATCAGGATAGGGTGTGTTTAAAACCAAATCCTGAGTTTTTTGCTAAGGTGGTCTCTCAATTCCATCTTTCACAAAAAGTGGTTCATTCATCATTCTACCCTAATCCAACTTCTCGTAAAGAAGCAAGGTGGCAAAGTTTGGATGTCTCAATACCTTCTCCATTCAGAGTCATACAGAAAGACTGAACAACTATTCGCTCTACCTTCTGGAGCTAGAAAGGGGAAAGCAGCTTCTATATCCACATTGAAACTTTGGATTTCACTAATAATCAGGAAGGCTTATATCTCAAATGGTCAGTCTCCTCCACGGAGATAAGGACTCATTCTACCAGAGCACTGTCAACTTCATGGGCTAACTGGGCAGAGGTTCCATACGATGATATTTGCAGAGCAGCCACCTGGTCTTCCCCGACGACGTTCATAAAACACTACAAACTAGATGTGGCCCCCTCTTCCACCTCCATGATTTGCCAGGAATAGAGAAAATTTATGACAAACTTACCATAATTTTCTTTTCCTGGCTATTTCTCATGGCAGCATCAGGGTTCCCACCCATTCTTTTTTCCTTTTCAGCTATTTAATTGGAGTGAGGTGTAGGGGGACGAGGGACTCTTTATACCTATCAGTCTAATTAATTATTCTAATTATTCCTGTCCTGTGACAACTAAGGGAGGAGCTACCCATAAGTGATGCTGCAATGAGAAATAGCCAGGAAAAGAAAATTATAGTAAGTTTGTCATAAATTTTCTCTATTTTATTTTATGTTCCATCAAAATTAGTGTAAAAGGCTGCCAGCTGCTGCTGGATTACAAATCCTTTCATGCTCAGTGAGATTCTGTCATGATTCGGTAGCTCAACACGCAGAACTTGGATCAGTGTCTATAGGAAGAATACAGCACATTACTGTTCAGAAGAATGGCCGGGCTGAACGACACAAAAAAAGAGATTCCCCCAATAACGAGACGACACTTCGTTTTGAGGTCAAGCAGAACTGACAGTACTGGCACATACAGCCTCTTTTATTCACAATCCACAAACATAGTACTGCCCACAGGGTTTTGAAATACAACCAATCATTCCATACAATACACACAGACACTGCCACACAAAATCCTCCCCTCTGCCTGTGATATGATTATTGAACACAATGTTTAATATAATTATCACAGGCAGAGAAATACAGTATCATAAAACACATCACAGGGACCCCAAAACATGCAATAACCCCATAAAAGTATATCCTCGGAACCGGGGGATCTGGGTGAACCACATATCTAAAATTCACCCAGATCCGTTCAGTAGTTTGGAAGATACAGTTTAATGCAGATTCCGCAGAACATATACAGGCTATATGAAAAACAATTACTGTATAATGTGTCCCCTGTTGTATAGTCCAAAACCACTGCACAATGTCTCTGTGCACCAAATACCGGCAAGATGGCACAGTGTAGAAAAGTCCACACAGTGTCTGTGAGTTAAAATGGCCGCCATCCATTGTTCTCACCATGTGCTTCATCCATTGTTCTCACCATGTGCGTCTGATACATGAAATGGTGGCCACCCAGTAACTCCACAGTATGTCCCCAGATGGTTCTTACAGGGCCAGCAGCAGCACTACACAAATCCATTATGCCCAAATCATGTCTTTAAAGGGCAATACATCCCAGGGGCCATAGTCACATGGCAGGAGGCTGGCAATCAGTCTTCTCCAATGCCCAGTGGCGAGGTCGGTTTCGCCACAGTAATAAACTAGCCGAGGCCAGGAATACAGAAATACACAAAACACTAAATGAGCCAAGGTCAATACCAGCAAACCAAAGCTGCTCATATAGAAGGTGATTTCATTGATATTGAGATTTTTACAAAATACTACTTTGAGGATGTATTAGTTTAAGTGCTGCTTATGTGTTCATTAATACTATTTAAAGCTATTGTGTACTAAAGTTTTTATCAGGGCCAACCAAGATGGAAGTTATATTATACATAGGCTGTTTAGCAAGTAGCTGCCTCACTATTCTGTTATTTCAGATGTATCTTTTAACTCCAACCAGCCTCAGACAGAATCTACCCCAGCAGATCTACGATAATCGTGCAGCTATGGTCTCTGCATGCGTCACACATGCACTTTGATCTGGAGGCCGTGTCTCCTTGAGTTGGTGTGGACAGTGTAGATGAGCCTTCTTAGGTACAGACGTTTGGACTTTCTAAGCACTACTGTAAAGTTCATCTGTGCAGCCAATGGCAGCATCCCCCTAATTATAAAATGAAGGCACATTTAATCTCAATATGAATACAATCACCCATCTATTGAGCAGCATTTACCTAGAGATTATCTATGAGAATCATTTCAATTAACAATACTTAGCAGTAAAGTTAAGTGCTGGGCAAATCACTGATGTTTTGTCTACTGGCAGTGGCACAACCCCATACTTACAATATTTTCCTTCTCTCTATTAGGTGGGGATTCTCAAGTTATGCATATGGTAAGTGATTATTGTAGCCTTATAATAATTACTATTTCCATTTCTTAACCCCTTCAGGACGGAGTCAATAGTGCACGTTCTGATCAAAACAAAACGTAAACAAAAACTGGAATTTGCGCTATATGTCTGTTCAACCGTAATTCACCGCTGTCACATTAAGTGCACGCACACTTATTATATGTAATTTTGTTCAGGAGAAACAGGGCTTTAATTTATCATTAACTATTCATATATGGAACATAATTTATTATGAATAAAATTGTAAAAAATTTGAGAAAATAAGATTTTTTTAAAATTTGTATTTCTGTCTGACATTTTAGCTGTGAATGTCATAATACTGTTAGGTTTTACTGCAAAAAAAATGCACATATTTGTAATCAGCGATGTTTACATTAACACGTTTTATGGTGTTTTGGAAAGTTACAGGATCAAATATAGAACGTTCCACTTTCAAATTGAAATTTACCAGATTAGTAATGTTACCTTTGAGACGGTATGGTAGCCCAGGAATGAGAATTACCCCCATAATGGCATACCATTTGAAAAAGTAGACAACCCAAGGTATTGAAAGTGGGGTATGTTTAGTCTTTTTTAATAGCCACTTAGTCACAAACACTGGCCAAAGTTAGCGTTCATATTTGTTTTTGTATGAAAAAAGCAAAAAAACTAATATTTGGCCAGTGTTTGTGACTAAGTGGCTACTAAGAAGGACTGACATACCCCACTTGCAATACCTTGGGTTGTCTACTTTTGCAAATGGTATGCCATTATGGGGGTAATTCTCATTCCTGGGCTACCATACGCTCTCAAAGGCAACATAACCAATCTGGCAAATTTTAATGTCAAAAAAATGAAATGCAATCCTTATATGTGACTCTCTAACTTTCCAAAACACCATAAAACCTGTACACTGTTATTCTCGGGAGACTTCACTAAACACAAATATTAGTGTTTTAAAACAGTAAAACATATTACAACAATAATATAGTGCATAAAAGTGCCGTTCATTTGTAAAAAAAAATGCAAAAAACGTCACTTTTACTTAAAATATCATCGTTGTAATATAATTTATCAGTTTGAAACACTAATATTTGAGTAAAACAGTACCCCCTATGTACACGTTTTATGGTGTCTTGAAGAGTTACAGGGTCAAATATAGTGCTTGCAAGTTAAATTCTCCGCACTTTCTCCCTGTGTTGTCAGGCATGTCAATCAAATTTTAATTAATCAAATCACATAATTATGTTAATAGATTACTTAAATATACATGTAGAATTGTAATATACATGCATTTATAGGTATTTAAATTCTATGTGTATATTAATGTAATCTTTTATGTAATTATATGTATTTATCTATATATATAAATATTTGCGGTTATTTGTATTTTATATATAGATAGATATATATAGAATGTCATTCTAAGTGTATTTTGTTACCAATATATATATATATTAATAACAAAATACAGTTAGAATGAAATTACATATGAATATATAATTTATATTAAATTTTGTTTCAATATTTTATTTATTTTATTATTTTATTTATTTATTATTGTAATTATACTTGTATATATATAATATATATACATATTATATATATGTAACATCATTCTAAGTGTATTTTAATACTAATATATGTACTTATATTAATATTAAAATACACTACGTATGATGTTACATATTTATAAAATGTATATATATTATATATAATATATATATATATATATATATTTTATATATACACATATACACATAATTTTTATTTTAAACATGTTTAATTAATTTATTTTACACTTCCCACCAGCAGGAGGACTGTCTGACATTTCAGACAGTCCCCCTGTTGGCAGATCCATTGCCAGCTATAGGGGGCCATGTGATCGCTCTTGCCTGAGAGCGATCACATGGCCCCCGGGGGCCTCATTTGCCGGTGGAGGGCTGCCTGGGTTGTCAGGCAGCCCTCCAGAAGAGGCTCGCGGCGGAGGTGAGTACCTCCGATCTCCTGGGCCTGCAAGCCGTTACGGTGTTCTATGCCACCGCAACGGCTTTAAAGCCCTTTTAATGCGGGACGGCATAGAACGCCGTAACGGCGTTAAGGGGTTAAAGGATAACAATCACTTCTCTGACAATGTCACTATTGAAGAAAACACTGAAAATTACCTATACATTGTGTTAAAGTTTTTCATACGATGGTCTGGCTTCTTATGAAAGTATATTAATGTGTAATTAATGTCTTTTTTTAACCGCCTGTAAATACCATGTAATAAAAATATATATTATTATTACTATTTGTTATTATTTATATAGCACCAGCTTATTCCGCAGGGCTTTATTATAAATCAGTTCTCTTACATTAAATCATAATCATTTAAAACTTTGTATCTATTTTAGCTAATAAGAATGGTTTCCAAATGACTGGCGTTGAAAGAATGATGCTGAGAACCCTGGGCCAATATTAAAATTACCAACAACAAATGGAATTGGAGATGACGTGGGCAGAATCTGCTGCTAGTGAAGAAGTGTTTTTTTGTAGTTTTTTTGCCATTTGCTTTGTAAATATAGTGACTACTTGCAAATGAAAAACATAATTTTTTTCCTTTTGAACATCCATAAAGACCATTTCGTGTCTGTGACTAATACAAATAGTAAACAGTTTTCATTCCAGGTAGAGAGAGTATCTCCTGCATCAGTACAGCTGACAGAAAATAATGGAAATTGTCAAACAGCAGCGGGATTGCCCAAATGGCAGTGTTTAACCGTGAGTATATAGCATTTAATGACACATTATCAGCAAACACTTATAGCCTGGTGATAAGGTTTTGTTTTTCACTTTGGTAGCCAAGGTTCAATATCTTAAAGGACCACTATAGTGCCAGGAAACCGGCTCTGGAAAGGGGAAAAGGGGTTAAACTTACCTTTTTCCAGCGCTGGGCGGGGAGCTCTCCTCCTCCGATCCTCCTCTTCTCCTCCCCGTCGGCTGAATGCGCACGCGCGGCAAGAGTTCATAATTCATAATGCTTTCCTATGGACGCTTGCATGCTCTCACTGTGAAAATCACAGTGAGAAGCACGCAAGCGCCTCTAGTGGCTGTCAATGAGACAGCCACTAGAGGATTAGGGGGAAGGCTTAACCCATTCATAAACATAGCAGTTTCTCTGAAACTGATATGTTTATGAAAAATGGGTTAATCCTAGCTGGACCTGGCACCCAGACCACTTCATTAAGCTGAAGTGGTCTGGGTGCCTAGAGTGGTCCTTTAAATCAGCAAAAAATACATTTTCTTTTTTTTTAAATCAGACAAAACCAAACACTGTACGACATGCAGTGAATATATTATTTTACATGGATCAACACATAAGTGAGTAAACATACTCACTCATGTATGTTCATTCCACATAAACTAGAAACTCAAAAAGGGAAAAATATACTAACATAATATAAATTCACAAGCAAATTGCACCCTAAATGGTAGTGAACTGAGGATAACAACACACGAAATGGATTTGGGAATTGTTATAGACTACATCTAGGCAGCAATGTGCAATGTCAATCAGCAATTGCTAATGCCAGTAATGTATTGTCATGTATAAATAGGGGCATTAATTCTTGGGATGAAAATCAAATTGTGCCTATTTATAAATTAATGGTAAGACCGCACCATGAACATGCTGTGCAACTCTAGGCACCTGTTCTAAAGAAGGATATTATGGCATTAGAAAAAGTGCAGAGGTTGGCTACAAAATTGATAAAAGGAATGGGGCATTTTAATTATGAAGAAAGGTTAACAAATTTCAATCTGTTTAGTTTAGAAAAACAGCACCTCAGAGGGGATATAATAGCATTATACAAATATATTCAGGGCCAATACAAACAATTGTCTGGAAATCTATTCATAAGGGCTTCAGACTGGGTTTTTGCCTTCTTTTGGATCAACAGCAAAAATAGATGTGAGAAAGGCTGAACTTGGACGCATTTCACTTTTCATCTATGTAACTATTTAATAAACTAGAAACTGAATATGTGAACTTAATATAATTTGTCCACATTTCAATGAGGGCATTCACAAAATATAGTAACATAAATATTTGAATATAAATTTGCTATTGACAATACACTTGACTAAAAAGAATAAAACTGAAATTCACAAGAATGATCACATAAAAGCAGTGTACAGATTTTCGTGCTGATGTTGCTCCAGAGAAAGTATGGAACTCTGTAATGATTGATGAAACAGATGATATTTATCTTCTACACACTTCAACATTTAGCACATCTGCACTGTGAATATGTATAGACTGCCAGTTCTTGTCTGGGCTGTTGTTGCTTCCAGATGTTTCCACCTCACAATAATAGAACTTACAGGTGACTGTGACAGAGCCCAAAATACATATATACATAGACAAAATACATAGACTACGATTTGCATTCCCAACCACCAGTAACCTTAGAGAGACGCTGGGAGAAACAGAAAATGAATAGAAACAGAAGGGTTAAGACATAACACTTCTATGGCACGTGTAGCTTCCCTTGGGGTACTTGGGCCGAAAACTTTTGTCCAGAGAAGTAAGCTATGCCGCCATCGAAAAGGAATGCCTGGGGTTTAGCGCTGCAGCCATATGACTTCACCAACCACTACTGCTCCGGGAAGCAGAACGGCAATGCTGACGGGTTATCCAGACAAACTGAACTAGAAAAGTGATCTTTGAGCACCTCTGGACATCCCCAAGTCGATCCATCCCCAAGCCAATACACTGTGTATGCCAGCTTGTGGTTAAGGGGGAGCTGTGTGGCAGAGCCTGTCCTGTATCATTTGGTTGCCAGTATCTATTCTTGAATTTCCTGAACGTACCCTCATTTTTCCCTTTAATACTACCGAACATTGACCACCCCCTGGCTCATTAACTTAAAAAGAACCCATTAACTCAAGTGCTCTTTTTGTGTGGCCGCCATTTGTATGCCCAAACACACATGCTTTATGGAATGGTGGCCATTTTGTCTTCCAAACACAGGCAGAGGTACCTGGTTGTCGAACGCCTGGAATTAATTTCAGATATCTTAGCTTGCAAACCCCGGAGAAACTTTACCACTGCCTGCTCCTCTAATCGACAAGCCAGGAGAGTGCGTGTGTCTTGTCTCTTTCTGTGGTCTGGGAATTCATGCAAGTTCATGCTAAGGAACCGTATTCTTTGAAGTGTATTGCCAGTGGAACAAGCTAGTTAGTATACTCTGTGAAAGCCCTAGGTTGCCGGTGAGTCTGATACAAAGCAAATGTAACCTTAGGGCTTAGTTGAGCAGTAAGCGGTGCAGGATAGGCAAAGAAACCCACAGATGATAATAGGTCTGAACTGTCCACAATTCACTTTTTATGATGTTATTCCCTAAGTGTCATGAATTTAAACTGAATTTCAAATTTAAGACCAAAATAGACAATTTTTAAATATTCTTCAAGTCAACTATGTTTCCAATTTGAAATTCACATTATATTCACTTTGTTTTCACCAATGATACGTGTGCCTCCTCCAAAGTGGGCTCCTGAATTAATTGTCGCAAAACTCATTGTCGCTTTACACTCATTGATTTGCAGACATGCATTCACATATCACACATTCACAGACGCAGATTCACACAGCAACACATTCAGACTCAAAGATCCATACTCCCACTCACACAGACATGCACACACAAAAATATACCACTATATAAAATTAAGGAAAAATGAATCTCCTAAAAAGTGTCCCACCAACACCTAAAAAATATAATACACAAAAGTATACAAAAAGTGTAACAAAAAGGAGAAACTTTAACTTTAAATGTACACACCCAATGAATAAAGGTAAAAAAAACCATAAAATAAATAATAAATAATAAAATAAAACCTGATGATAATAATAATAAAACCTAAAAAAGAAAAAAAACTGTAGCTGTACTACACTATTACTGTTTTTTCTTTTTTAGGTTTTATTAGTATTATTATTATTAATAATAGTATTATTATCAGGTTGAATTTCATTATTTATTATTCATTGTGTAGGTTATTTATACCTTTATTCACCTGGGTGTGCACGTTTAAAGTTAAAGTTTTGTACACACACAAGCATTCAGATAGATTCACACTCATAGATTTACAGAAACAGACTCACAGATTCACCTATTAACTTTACTATTATTAATCAATATTCTCCTGATGACCTGAATTCCATTTAACTTTTATATCAAAACTGAATTCCTTATCCATTGAGAATGAAAGGAAAAAACAGCATTTTAGTGGTAATTATGATTTATATTATACTTATAGTTTTATAGGTATGAAAAGTATCTGATTCAACATTTCAAATCATTTATTCCTTTTTTGGAGAAAATATTATCTGTGTATTTAAAATCAGTGCCTGAAGCTCAGATTGAAAATATGCAATAATAATTAAGGTATAACTCCTGTAATTGTTGGTACATTTGTTTGTTAAAAGTAGAAATGTTGGTTATTGTTATAGATTGTCTAAACAAGTAATTGAAACATTGTAATAGCAACAAATGTCATACCCTGTCATACTATGGTGAATAATATTAAAGGACCACTATAGTACCAGGAAAACATACTCATTTTCCTGGCACTATAGTGCCCTGAGGGTGCCCCCACCCTCAGGGCCCCCCTCCCGCCAGGCTCTGGGGATAGGAAGGGGTTAAACTTACCTCTTTCTCCAGTGCCGGGCAGGGAGCTCTCCTCCTCCTCTCCTCCCTCTTCTCCTCCTCTTTTTCTGAATGCGCATGCGCGTCAGGAGCCGCGAGCGCATTCAGTCAGTCCATAGGAAAGCATTCACAATGCTTTCCTATGGATGCTGGCGTCTTCTCACTGTGAAAATCACAGTGAAAAGCACACAAGCGCCTCTCTGAAACTGCTATGTTTATAAAAAACCCTAGCTGGACCTGGCACCCAGACCACTTCATTAAGCTGAAGTGGTCTGGGTGCCTATAGTGGTCCTTTAAATGTTAATGCAGTATGTTATGTAGAGTTGGTGATAAATTCTTGAGCCAGTAACTATATGGCTCATTATCCAGATTTTCATTGTTTTTTCTGGAAATTATATAATGACATGTTAGAAGCAATTTTCTTTTGTATGATCGCTGACTATTTTACTATAATTTAGATTGTTCTTGTCACAATAAATTATATTTTAAGTAAAATAGTAATTGTATGCTATTGAATTGTAGATTAAGTTGAACTACAATTTAGGCAAACAGAAATGGTATATAGGTTGCGCTATAAGAACAAAAAGATAATAAAAGAAATGTATTTGCGTAAAATAAATAAAAATAATAGTCCCAATATTGGTATCTTATTTAGTCAACCTGTAGAGTGCTTGAATGTGAAGTGAGTCCAATAAATAGCTGGGTCTTCTGGTGCTGGAGATGTCTTGGTTCAATTGTATAAAAAATACAATATAGGTGCAATACATAAAAAACAAAAAATAAAAATAAGAGCAGCTACACACATCCACCAGCGACTAAAAATGAGTATAAGCTCAAAAGTTAAACAAAGCGTGTGCGCTCCTTAATCATAAAACATATGGTAATTAAGAATGTAAACAAATCAATAAATCAATATTTTATTCCAAAAAGTAGAATATCAAATGTAAAAAACCAGATCAAAGATGACCTAGACTTGCTAATATGGGATAAAAAACAATGTATCCCTTAAAAAAAGGCAAATATAATCACACAAAAATACAGAGT